TTTGTTATGTAAATCTGTGACAAAATTGTCACTATTTTGGATGTTATTTGTTATTGTCTAGTTATTTGTGTTTGTAGGTTATAGTATTGTAAAGTAACTTTATTGAATAAACTCATCATATAATAAACTTAATAGTGCTAAGTCTGTTGCTTAGTAACTAGTGCACAGGTGTACATGAATCAGGTCATAGTTTGATTTGCAGTGTGCTGGTATGCGAGTGTGTATTGGAAGTTAGTGGTATGCACTTACAGGTGGGTGTATGAATGTTTACTAGAGTAGGCTGAATTGATGAATAGAACTGCTTTTGTGATGCAAAGTAGGTCAGTGTGCTTGGTAATTCTGCAGTGTGATGTGGTTAGTTGTCCAGGAGTGAGCATCTCCTGCAATTCTACTCATGGTGACTCGTAATTTTACTATCAACTGGCAAGGCGTTCAGGCTTTGAGTTGGTGGGAGTCAGTGGGGACTTTGCTGTATTAGGTCAGCCAAGTATATAGAGTAGAGGTCTGCCAAATTGGTTTTGCAGCTTGGGGATATTCCTGAGACTTGGAGATTCCACCCTTTGGTGAGGGAGATGGACAAGACGCCAGCACATAGAAACTGTAAGTTGAGATTTCAGTTTAATCATTTCCTAGTAGTTCATTCAACTATGCCGGGTACGGTAGCCCGATTAAATACATCCATATTACGTTTCTTTAGTTGTGTTTAAAACGGCGAGTATTATGCAATGTACTTGTCCCTTTTCCAGATGACCTGTGAGTGGTGAGCCGTCGTGACGCATGGAGCATGGAGCGCAGTCTGAGTGGAAGGCTGTGAAGTGGAATTCTAGATTGTGTGGAGTGAAGCAAGTGTCGAGCAAGTGAACGTTTGAACTTACCGGACATTAGGACAGTCTGAACTTGTTGTGTGACGTGTTCATGAGGTCTAACCGGTTGTATTACCAACTTGTAATGCTAGTTCTTAATTTACTGCTTGTATTTATAATGTGTATGCTTCACGCATTGTTGTAATTTTGATGAGCGTGTAGTCTAGTTTGTCTTATAATTGTATGCCGTTTTACGGATTGTGACATGTATTAATATAACTAGTAATATTTCCCTTAGCATCACCCCATTGTGTATAGAACTCACTACCAGCTTAATAAAGCGTATTAATTCTGAACCGCACACTGGCGTGATTTCTGCTTGTTATTTTATTGCATGTGCTGCCTGCTAGAAAAAATCTGACAATTGGCGAGCGTGCCAGGATTGGCCAAACACATTAGTTCAGAAATTGGCAGCATGTACATGTAGTGTTTTGCAAGCGGTAACTATTCAGTGTGTAACTATATTTTGATGCACTACATTTATTGTATTGTTACTGTTATTGTATTTTTTCAGTTAAGTGATCTTGTATTGTATTTAAAATATTTAACTGTTTCAGTCTTGTTTTATTATCCAGGTGCTTGATGCGCCAGCCCAACTCCGTTCAACAGAGGTTGGAATCCAGGTGTCTCAGGGAACAGCTGCTTTCTTATTATAGAATAGGGTGAGTAAATTGCAGTGTTGCTCAGTATGGACAAGTGGATGGAACTTGGGCGTGAGATGGGATTAGGTGGTGAGGATCTGATGAGTTTTGTGAGAGAGAGGGAGAAATTTGCGAGGGATGAACGTGCACAGCTTATGGAGTTGAGGAAGCACGAAAAGGATATATTAGAATTACGGTTGCAAGCGAAAAGAGAGCATGGGGAAATTGCGGTTGGTGAAAGAGACTCGGGGTATGCTAATGCACCAAAGTTACCCTTGTTCAATGAGGATAAGGATGACTTGGATGCATGGGTTCAAAGGTTTGAGAGGTATGCATTGGCAATAGGATGGAAGCGTAGAGACTGGGCAATAAATTTGAGTACCCTTCTTACCGGTAAAGCACTGGACACGTACTCGCGTTTGGCAGTACAGTCGGCAAGCGATTATGATGCACTAAAGTTGGCTTTGTTTAAGCAGTATAATTTAACCGAAGATGGTTTTCGGAAAAAATTCCGAGGTGCGAAACCTGATGAAACAGAGACGGCAACTCAGTTTGCTGCACGAATAGAAAACTATTTTGATCGATGGATACACATGTCTGAAATTGGTGACTCTTTTGAGGATTTAAAAAATCTGATTCTGAGGGAGCAGTTTATCGATAATTGTGGTCCAAGCTTAGCTACCTTTTTAAAAGAACGCCCATCCAAATTGATTGCTGACATGGCCAAACTAGCTGAACAGTTTGTAGAGGCCCGTGGTACAAAGTTTGGGCAGGTAAATAGACGAGTTAATTGTAATGAAAAGAAACCCTCTCAGGGCAAAGCTGTTAACTCCAGCTCTCCCACTCGTCAACGAAAAACCAGTCAAGGCGATGGTTGTTTTGTCTGTGGTAAAAAGGGACATTTTGCACGGGACTGTCGACAAAGAGTAACTAAAACAGTTAAGGCATCATGTCTCATTGTAAGGGAACCAAATAGGTCCAAACAAGCAGCAGTGTCTACCAACATATCTGAGAATGATATTGTGACCTGCCGGCTTCCAGAAAGCGTGAATGAAATGAATGAATGCTGTCTGCAACAGGATCATGTGACATTGCATTGTGGCCATCAACTCCCTGTTATGAGTGCAGCGTGCCGGGGACAGATGCCACCGAAAATGCCGGTAGCGGTAGGTTGTGTTGGTGGTGTTGAAGTTTCAGTTCTAAGAGATAGTGGATGTAGTGGTATAGTGGTAAGGCGAGCCCTTGTTTCTGATGACCAGCTAACTGGAGAGTTTAGAGTCTGTGTTCTTGTAGATGGTACAGCAAGGAAGATTCCAGTGGCTCGGATAGAGGTGGATACTCCGTATCTCATAGGTATGGTGGACGCCCTGTGTATGAAGAGTCCCGTATATGACCTTATCCTTGGAAATGTACCAGGAGTTCGTGACCCATCTGACCCCGACTTAAATTGGAATGGTGGTTCGCATTTAGATGTGCAGTCTGGAGACTGCAGTGAGCCAGTAAAAGAGATGATATTGGGGGTACAGACGAGAGCCCAAAAGATGTTGGAGCGCAAACCTACACGAGGCTTAAAGGTACCAAACAGTCCCATAGAGATGGTAACAGTCGCCGAATTACAGAAAGAACAGAAAACTGATGTAACCTTGAAGCGCTGTTGGGAACTGCTGAATGAAGGTAGTAAACTGCTTGCAAGGAATGGTAATGAATCAGAGTTTGTTCAACAAAAGGGAATTCTGTACCGGAATTTCAAATCGCCACACATCAAGAATGGTGATGGTTTCCACCAGGTGGTCGTGCCATTGACATTTCGGCACCAAGTAATGAAGCTAGCACACGAGTCAATACTCGGGGGACACCAAGGGACCCAGAAGACGGTGGACAAGATTATCACACATTTCTACTGGCCAGGTATTCAATCAGACATTCGGAGATTTGTTCGATCCTGTGATGCATGTCAGCGAACGTTCTACAAAGGTAAATCCCTCAGAGTACCCTTAGGCAAAATGCCATTGATTGATACACCCTTTGAACGTGTAGCAGTAGATCTGGTTGGGCCAATATTTCCAGCTACGAAGAGAGGTAATCGTTACATTCTCACTCTAGTTGATTACGCAACTCGATATCCTGAGGCAGTGGCGCTGAAGAACATTGAAACTGTTACTGTAGCAGAGGCACTCGTGGACATGTACAGTCGTATAGGTGTTCCACGAGAAGTATTATCTGATCAAGGTTCACAGTTTACATCAACACTTATGAAGGAAGTTAGTAGATTACTGTCTATCAAGGGATTGACAACCACACCATATCATCCTTCTTGTAATGGGTTGGTTGAACGTTTCAATGGTACCCTGAAACAAATGCTCAGACGGATGTGTGGAGAAAGACCCAAAGATTGGGACCGGTATCTAGCCGCCCTGTTATTTGCTTATAGGGAAGTGCCACAGGCAAGTACTGGATTTTCACCATTCGAGCTAATTTATGGGAGAACCGTGAGGGGACCAATGTCAATACTTAAAGAACTATGGACCAATCAAGTGGATGAAGCGGAAGTGCGTACTGTGTATCAATACGTACTTGATCTCAAAGAGAGGCTGGAGAACACGTGTAAACTTGCTCAAGAAAGTCTTGGAAGAGCCCAGGTAAAGCAAAACACTACTATTGACAAACGAAGTGGTAAGCGATATTTCAAGGCTGGGGATTTGGTTTGTTATTACTTCCAACTGATAATATAAACTTTTATTACAGTGGAAAGGTCCTTTCCCAGTGTTGGAGCGATTGAATGATACTAATTACAGGATTAATCTTTCAGGCAAGGAGAAGACATTTCATGCCAACTTGCTAAAACTTTATGTTAAACGGGAAGAAGTCAAAGAGAAAAATGATGAAATGGTCGTTTGTGCTGCTCTTTTGGACACGGAGTCTGATGATGGTAATCCGAATAATGATACCTTTGAGGAGTTGCTGATCTCATCCACCATACAGCCAACTCAAACTATACAGGATGTGGTAGTGAGCTCCAATTTGAATGAGGAACAGAAGGCTGAGGTGGAGAAACTATTGGGGAAATATTCGGATGTTCTGACTGATGTTCCAGGAAGGACAAATCTTGGAGAGCACGAGATAAAGCTCACAACTGATGAGCCAGTGAGACAGAAACCTTACCCTATACCCTATGCTATGAAAGATACAGTGAAGAAAGAGCTGTCAATGATGGAGCGATTTGGGGTTATAGAACGATCTGACTCTCCATACTCTTCCCCAATTGTTCTGGTGAAGAAAAAGGATGGTACGGTGAGGTTCTGCATTGATTTCCGCCGCGTAAACAGCATTTCAGTCATTTGATGCTGAACGACTGCCCAACCCAGATGAGATATTTGCTTCTTTATCACAAGATACTTATTTCAGCAAACTTGACCCAACCAAAGGTTATTGGCAGGTACCCCTCAAGCTTGAGTCAAGAAGGGCTACAGCATTTTAATACCCCATATGGTTTGTACCATTTTTGTGTGATGCCCTTTATGTGCTCAAACACTTTGTGGATGCTGGTACCACCAAAGTAGGTGATTTGATCGACATACCAGGGAAAGAGTGGCTTCCGTCGCCAGTTTTGTTCAGAAAAGTTGGAATGCAGTCGAAGAGAATCTTTAATCTCAGTCTCAGTCTAATCGAGTCCATCCCTGCGTTGTGGAAAGACTGCATTCAAACATACTTTATAAATGAATCTAGTGACCTGCCTCCAACAACTAAACACAACATTGATCTATATAACTCCGATGATTTAAATATGTCTCTGTGTAAGATGAAAAATGGGGATTTCTACAAATCTATGATTTCTTTACTCCATGAAATTGATACTGTATTGCGCGACATTTTGAGTGTTCCAAACGAGTTAAAGCCGAATTTCAAAGGATGTTACTCCCCACCATTATGCAAACTAGAAGGCGGTCTTCAATGGAGAATTCTCCATGGAGCTTATACTATAGTATAGTCTCTATAGTACATGACTCGCACAACACGATAAATGCCCTGTTTGCGGCGACGAGGATTCATTGTTTTATGAATGTCCCAATATCAATGCTTTGCTGATCCACATCAGGACTATTGCTGGTCGCCTCACATTCCCCGATTCAGCCATTCATCTATGGTGGTTTGTTATGTTACCACCTTCCAAGTCACGTGCCTTTATTTCTAAACAAGCTTATCAACTGTTCATTTACATTGTTGCCACGGCAAAGATGTCAATTCAACTCAGTCGCAGGAATAAGCGTCAAGACATGGGAACTACTGATCCACTGGAGATTTTAAACATCGTACGCATTCCAGGCTTAACTTAGAGTTTGAGTACCGCCGTTTAACTAATCGGTTACCCGCGTTTGATAACATTTGGGCTGTTGGGGGTGCACTATGCAATCGAGATGGAGAAGCACTCGATATCTGTAAATAATCAGTTTTCATTCCCGCTTTGCGAAACATCTGGTTACGTGCTTCACGGTGAGTCTGGCACCGCGCATCAAATGTTTTACTTGTCTGGACCTCCATTCTGCCTATACCAATATTTTTGGCAAGTCTACATGCCAATCGCTGAATGCAAACTTTCTTTCTGAGAACAAGCCCAGTGTTTGTGAGAGTGATTAACGGGTTTGTTGTAACAAATGTTTCGAATTGTAAGAGTCATTAAGAATTTGTTTAACGACTCATTAGAAAGGAATGTAGTTCCAGACTTGCTTGATGTTGACATCATTTCATCTGTAGTAAACTGTAACATGTCAGACATGTCCGATGCAACAGATTCAATTTCGTCCGCGTCCGCAAATGGAAGAGTAGTGGGATGGTAGCGCTTGTCAAAAACATCTATTTGCGAGGGGTAATCAGGAGGTGCAGCCGTTGGTGAACATCCTGATAGAGTAGAAATTGAAGGAAGGGTTAATACCTCCTCTTCACCATTACTTTCAAATATATATTCAAGGTTGGTTCTGAGTTGTTTAGGTCATTATCATTACAAAGACCTGGTCGCGTGTCGGTAAGTGCGTCAGCACCTGTTGTAACAATAGCGCTGGGTTCAGTAACAAGTGGGTCATCCTCGGGTTGATCAATAATAATGTTTTCATTTGTGTTTTCATTTGTCAGTGCGCTGTCAGTAGAGTTATTTGTTTTAGTTGAATTATTTGCAGGATTATCATTATTTGTCTCATCGTATTTATCGTTACTATTCGTTGTAATTTCACTGTTTTCACACATTCTTTCTTTGGTATTTTCATAATTAATTGGTAGAGAATCAGTTTGTCGTATATTTCTATTATTAGTTTTTTTACCAATATCACTATCAGGGTTGTTAGGTAATTCGTTTTCAGTAGATGTACTGTTGATTCCATTGACAGCAATTTCATCTGGGCAATTGTTTTGAGTGTGTTCATTTTTAGAACGTTTATAACAGGTGATCTCGTCCGTCGACAGGTATATTCTAGTTTTACGTTGTTCTTGGGTTAAAAGAATCGAACCTTGGATAGAGTTTTCCTCACACAACATGTATACTTGTCGACGGAACGATTGTACATGTTTCAAGACGGGATTTTTACATCCGAGTGGAATGTATCGAATATAGGAAACTACTCGACCATAGTTGGAGAGTTCACGCTCTAACACAACATTTGGAATATAGGGTGGTACACCTGACATGTGACTTTCGTCGCCGGTTTCACCAGTGGCTCTACATAGAGAAAACTATCACCAATTCCAGTAACGCCCTGTGAACAAACCTGTTCAACACATGAAACGGAACCAAGAAAAATAATAACGCTGCGATTGATACGAGATAGAGCAACCACATCTTTGGAACAATATGTGCAACAGCTTGTACATACATCTCAATAGAAACACCATCAAGTAACTCGCACTTGATGGCATGTTTACGTGACATGCCCGTGAACAATGAAACACGTGGCCGTGCTATGGGGGCGGCCATCTTGGCACGCACATAAGCACAACCCCAGCAACACAAAATTTAAAAACACCCACAAAATTGGCAGATATATGTCTAAAACAAGCTTAAAACGTATCGACCAGAGGTACAAAGTGTTTACAAAAACAAAAATGAGCTACTTAGCTATTTGACAGTGAAATTCAGAGGTTTTCCTGGAGCTGTGTGGAGACACGTTCGTATGCAACTACGTACATACATACATCTGGGTCACTGCTTGTAGTCATGTTTTCCAATACCGTACTTGCTTTATTAAAAGTTCATGTACTTAAAGTGTATTATAATGATCTCATTTCTATTCCAATCTGAAGATTCAACTTTCGCATTTCATCTTAACAAAGCAAATGCGTGTTTGATGGGAAGTAACATTGTAATTCATGATTGAGAATATGCTTTGTTGATATCATGGACAGAGAAATTCCAATGGAAAGATGTACATTCACACATGGAAAATGCGGCATTTTTGTTAAGACGACAAGCTGTTTGGTCTAGTGAACAGCCCATTGAAAAGGAAGACTACGTCTAGATTTGGAGGTTTAAAGGGCGTTGGTCATCGTATCATGCATGCGCGAGTCAGGGTCTCATATGAACAAAGATGGTGACTAACTGTTTTGCGGACCAACGAGTACAAAATGAGACATTACCACACTTTCACCAAGTTATCTTTGGTGATTAGCAGGTATCGAAGAATTTACTGCGGTAATTAGTTCACGTCACACTAATACTCCCAATTTCCATTAGATGAGCACAATGAATTGTCGAAAAATCAATGTTCATTAACACAAATGTTGTACATGGACGGCGCGACCACCGTCATTTAATCCAGGCAGTGAACTTTGTTGTGTTATTGATTTGAATAATATAATGTGCAGGTGCAATGTGTGTGGGGGGGGGGGGGCGTGCGTGCGCGCGCGTGTGTGTGTGGTATCAACGTTGTAGAGACTGTCATGTAACTTTACACTTACCAAGTGACGACCCTCGCTATTTTCACGATTGATATTACAATTTTATCGAATTTAAGACAAGTACATACATTTCAATGTTCAGTAACAGTTTATTCAATTTTACTTTATAGTCCAGTCATTCTAGCAAAAAAGGGGGCCAACCCGCCACAAATTGCAACAGAAATAATTTCTTCACAGTGCTTTTCGGAAAGGTATCTAGATTGACATACTATAAGTCTAGGAAAAGCTAGGCTTCCAAAATATACCTAATTTGCATATATTCAAAATGGCCATTTTGCACATTTTTACAACATTGAAATATAACTATTTGGACATATATTTAGTTCTAGATGAGGTCTTTTAATAAATCATGATGTTATGGTACTATTTTTAGTCGGAGAAGGTATGAGAGTGCCAAATGTGTTGATTGGGTACGTGACAATTACCATCAATCCAATATGGCCGCGATAATATAATTATTTAATGTAATGTAACTTCTCTTCCGCCTTTTCTTCTATGTGGCATAAGTAATAAGTTTTAGATGCTTGAATACAATTTTAAACAGGATCGTACAGTACAGAAAATATGGGTAGACGGATGCTTCATCTGCATAAATCCAACATGGCCGTCACATCTAAAAGAAAAACTATAGGAATGAAACCACCTTGGTTGGATCTACAAATCGGCTATACTATATACATAATAGACCATTCAAACGTAACTTTTTAACTTTAAAAACTATTTTGTTTTATTTAACAAACTGTATAAGCAGTTATAATTCTGTTTAAAAGTTTATTGTTTATTGTTAATGTAATTGCTAATTGTCATCGCTATCTTCATCAGATATCTGAACTACATTTGTGCATTCAGATCCCCGACATTGACCACAAACTGCAGAACATTCAAGGTTGTGCTTACTGCAGGTACATCTGAGACTGCGTCTGTGGAGCAGTTGCATCTAACTGTCCACAGGAGAAATTCAGGTGCTGCCTCCTTGTCAGTCATTACAGGAATTACGATCGGTTGTGGATTGCGTCTTAGGATTTGCTTGCTGGCGAGAAACCCAATTCGTGTCTTTATCACGACTTGATTGTCCATAAAGGCGACACACCCGTCCGAGAAGGACAGGACCCCTAGTTCATCCTGACACCTACCTGAGGCGAGGGTGAGTAGGAAGATTGTTTTCCACTTTAAAAGTGCTTAGAGCGGCCAACACAACCAATAAGTCACAGTACGGGTACAACCCATTAAAAGAGTGTAACCTAACTTCCTCACTTGACGCAATGATCCCGGGACCCGCTGTAGGCGGCAGTATTTTCATGCGAGGTCAATTTTGGATCACCAGGTCATTCCTAAACGCGTAATGAGGACTGAGACGAGAATCAATTTTGGGTGCCAGAAATCAATCAAAGACGCTTATTTGGCTATAATTTGCGCTGTCAAGACAATGTTCAGGTTAATAAAATAAGATTGACGACGTTTTCCCAGGAGAAAAAAGTGAATTATTTGTTGAAAAAAGCATAGAAAAATTGATACGCAAAAATCGTGACGTCGACTCTACGCATGCAATGCAGCGTCATGGAAATTGTCTACAGTACACGTACACGCATCTTTCGATGACGTAGTTTATTTTGCTCGTCAGCCCAGGACGCCGTACAGACATTGTACTAATAGAAGGTAAGAGCTCTTGCCCTTTTCCACAAATTTTAAAATATTCTTAACAATTGCTTTACCTATAAAACTCTGCACACCATGCTATGATCATTCAGTGTTTTGAACTAAACGACTCATCGATTAGCAAAGCCGATTTTCAGGATTTATTGGCACATGATGTCATGAATCAGGGAATCTAATGGCCAAAAATAAATCGCCAAATATTGCATCGTACATAAATGATGCCAGCGATTTATTAGGCCTATGGCCTGTGAACTCGCATGATTTGTGTGTTGTGCACATGCACGGTGCGACTAGTAAAAATTACCTAACCTACTGGTCCTTCACGGCCACAGTTGTCACGATGCATCTCAATAAAATATCATCTAAAACAAAAATAAGGCCGATATGTGT